ATTCTTATGTTCTGGAGACTGAATTGATTTAAAATGTTCTGGTGTAGATTTAACACATAGTAGGATACCTGAAACACTCTATTCGGCACCTTCTGCCATATTTTACTATTTACATGCCACACAGTTATGTCTACTTACAACATTGTTCCACCTCTGTCTACCTACACACAAACAAGCAAAACAAAATCCTTTTATTCTTCATCAAAAGCCAAGTCCAAGTATTCCCTCTTCACCATTGGAACTTCCTTCCAGGATGAATTCAATGCTTTAAGAAAGATACACTTTTAATAACAGTACCATGGCCCATGTATGACTCTCAAGTAGACTAAAAGTTCTCAGCATACAAAGATCATGTCTTATATAACTTGATGCACCTATAGCTAGGATACAACAAATAGTGAGTATCCAATAAGTGCTTCTAAACTTAATTAACTAGATGCCTATAAAGTGCATTATTTTTGATAGAATCTTAATAAAAGGAAGGATAACACCAAACAAGTAAGGTCCAAGATATGGAAGCAAATATACAACAGAGTTTAACCTCTATTAATACACAGTTCTACTGTTGTAGCCAGATAAGGCATGAAAAAAAAAGACCATTACATTCCATGAGTAAGAGCCACATATGACAGATAAAATATATTTCAAGTCAACAGACACATAAATGTCAAATGAAGTAGGTCAAATGCGCCTCTAAGGGAATAGGGAATCAAGCACATACCTCCTACCTTTAATATTTTCAGATGTGCTATTAAAGACTTTACAGAGCATAATTCTCATAATTCTCATGCTTAACCTCTGCAAGTGTAGAACAAGACTGACTCATGGTAACTGTTAGCTGTATTCAGTATTATCTCTTGTATACAGCAGGGAAATTCACTAAGAAGTGGTCCTGGGGAAAAATATAAGGAATAATCACTGTGCATCTGAAAGAAATATTTAGGGGCTTCTAGAATTTTACTATAACAACTCTGCTGATATGTATACTTTGAGCATTTATAATAGACACTTTCACTAAAAAAAGCATAATTTCAAGAATGTAGATTGCCATATAAAATTTCATACCAGTCAGGGTAAAGATAGGCAATAGTCATAAACTAATGTGAAATTAACATTGTTCTTGTTTCCACTTCAAAAACTAGAGCATCAATCACTAAAAAACAAATCATGCCAGGCAGTGGTGGCACATCTTTAATATCCCAGCACTTGGGAGGCAGAGAAAGGGCAGATCTCTTATGAGTTCAAGGCCAGCCTAGTCTACAGAGATAGTTCCAGGACAGTTAGGGCTATAACACAGAGAAAACCCGCTTTAAAACACCAAAAATAAACAAAGAAATAGACATCACTATTTATAACCTGTCAGCACCCAGACAGTTCCTGGCACACAACAGTTGATCAGTAAATATTTGCTGAATCAATGAGAGAACGAGAGAGGAGGAGCAAGGAAAAGAGGTAAAAGTAAAAAAGTAAAGAAGTTAAAAAAAGAGAGACGGAGGTGTGGCATGTGCCTATATTTTATCATTTAGAGGCTGAGAAATGAGAACTGATTTTGAGGCCAGACTGGACTGCCCAGTGAGTTTAAAATAACCTGGGTACAATAGCAAGATGATACCTAAAAAGAAAAGAAAAAGAAAAAAAAGGTAGTAGTAGGATGGGTGAGAGAGATCAGCAGGTTAATGTGCTTTCTGTGTAGACTTGCTGACCTGATTTCAAACCCCAGGAACCCATAACAAAGTGGCTGCTATAAAGTTGTGCTCTGAGTAGTGTGTGTCCACATACACATCCTGTGATGAGAAAATAATAATTTTTTAAAAATTCAAAAATACAGCAAGCAATAATGGAAGGAATACATTTTCATAATTTAAAAATTATCTATGATTTACCTACCATGGGTCTTTAAAACTATTGTCTGTTTTATCTTTTTGGCAGAAAAAAAGAATCTTCCTTAAACTCAAGCAATCAAAATCTACAGTTCCCAACAAATATATAATCTCTAAACATAAGCATCTGTCTCCAGGAAAAAAAAGTCTAGAAGATACGGCACAGTTCTAGAGTCTTTCTTCATGAGGAACAACCATGCTCCAAGAAGCTGTCCTGCCTTAGGCCCACACTAAAACATCTTTGTTTCCATTTGCACAGACTCTTGGTATCTTGTAAATATATCTGGCCATCATACTCATATATAAATACTCTTAACATCTGCTCCATAATTTCAACTCCAAACCTTTCCCCTCAAGAAATCTTGTCATTTCAAGTCCTCGATTAACGTATTCCACTTTCTGGATCAGTGATTCCATTTCCAAGGCAATACAAAGAAAAGCTAAACTCACTTTCCTTCCTCTAGATATATGCAGCCCCACCCCCAGCAAGCAGCAGCAGGATCTGGCCTGAACTCAGATATGATAGCACACTGATTCCTAGTTTCCATCAAGCTTGCAGATCTGATGGCCCTTTAATATTTCTGCTGTTTCTTCCATGTTGGGAGCTGTGAACCCCCAGATCCTGAATTTCTTGTAAACAGCTTGTTTTCCCCTGCCCTGAGACAGCTTGTAGCTGCTCTGAGCAGGAGACCCTCAGGAGTTCCTGATGGCAGGGAGGAGGGAGGCAGAGAGGGAAGAAGATAGGGAGGGAGGGAGGAAGGGCACAAAAACAAACACAAAGTTTTAAAGCTTTAAAGTTTTTGTTACAGTAATTTTTATATAAGTATAAAGTAAATATGAATGAACCTCTACACAGCCATCCTCAAGCTTCAACAGCTGTCCACAGTCTGCTATTCTTTGCTCATATATACCTCAACTCATCTGTCACCATATTCAATGACTACTTTAGTGGGGGGGGGGAGGTTGTTTTGTTTTTTGAGACAAAATTTCTCTGTGTAGCACTGCTACACTATTTTTGTTTGTCTTCTGAGACAAGGTCCTGCTATTTAGCTGAGACTGACAGAACTCCTACGTAGTCAGGCTGACCTCAAAGGCACAATCAATCCTACCTCAGCCTCCCAAGTGCTGGGATTACAGGTGTAAGCCATTATACTAGCTTTAATAAAAAAAAAAGTAATAACTTCCTTAAAAAATTATCCAGGACTGGGGATGTAGCTCAATTTCTGGGTGCTTGTCTAGCATGAATGAAGCTCCAGTACCACAGAAACCAAATGTACCTATGATTCCAGCACTTAAAAAAGGTTTGGAGACAAGAGAACCATGGCTCTCCAGCAGTCTCCAGGTGATCAGATTGACCTCTCAAACACTCATTGGATCTTGCTCTTCCCAGAGGCAACACTTGCATTAGGCTGCCCAGTACAAAGAATATGCCTTTGAGGAGCACAGTCTCTACATCCTTTTCTAACCTGTTATCACACCAGGCCACCTGGGCATGTGATAGTTCCTGGAACAGGCTGGGGCCACCACAGCCCTTTCTTCTGTCTAGAACACTGTTCCCCTCACTTTTCCCACAGCTGGCCTCCTGGTCCTTTGGCTAAGATCTCGTCACAGAGGTCTTCCTCAATAGTCTAAGCTCCTCTTCCTAGTCCCCTTTTAATCTATGCTTTATTTTCCATTCTTCACAGTACTTACAGTGTTTCTAACTATTATCTTTATATTTATTTGTTTCTCTTTAGAATGTGGTCATCTTGAGAATAATCTCTCCCTGTTACATCACCATTTAACATATGATTAAAAATTATTTATTGAGACCTGAAGAGATGGCTCTGTGGTTAAGAGCACTCACTACTCTTGTGGAGAACTCAGGACTGGTTCCTAGCACCCACATGTGGTTCACAACCAGTTTCAGGATGTCATACACCTTCTTCTGACCTGTTTATGTACCAGGCACATTAGGGATGCACATACATGCTTGCAAGCAAAAGTATACTTATTGAAAAAAGAAACAAAAGCCGGTGGTGATGACACACACTTTTAATCTCAGCACTTCGGAGGCAGAGGCAGTTGGGTCTCTGTGAATTTGAGACCAGCCTGGTCTACAGAGTGAGTTCCAGGACTACACAGAGAAATCCTGTCTCAAAAACCCAAAAGAAAAAAAAAAAAAGAAATAGATTAGCTCAAACCACATATAAAGAAAATGCTACATTTCTCCCCGGAACCAGCTTTCTATTCACAGATATCCCTAAGTTAAGTTAACATAAATAAAGTCCTACATTAACAAAAAATCATTACAAATATAAGATTTTATATAAAAAAGACAAGGAGATAAATTTTTTAATTAAAAAGACTGACGAAAATAAAGTTAAAATCCAATTTCTTTTTTTGTTTGTCTGAGGCAAGGACTTGCTATGTAGGCATGGATGGCTTGCTAGTCACTTGATAGCCCAGGCTGGCCTCAAATTCAAGGCAATCCTCCTGTCTCAGCATCCCAAATAGATTACAGACATGTGTCGCCATGTCCAGCTTTGTCCCCTTATTTTTAGTCTGATTTTGAAATAATAATCAAGCAACTACAAACCAAGAAAGCCAATCTTTCCTTCCATCCTACAAAATTTGCTTCATATATTTCTGGTTTGTTTCAAATTTCACAAGTATAAACAACTTTCATAACAGAATTTACAATACTAGTATTTTAAGAATGAATTGTAACTATTACCCAGTCTCGTACGAGGCTGAGGCTTTAGGATCGCAAATTCAAGGCTTGTCTAGACTGTCGAGTCCAAGGCCTGCCTAGGTGGCTTAGGCAAACACTGTCTCAAAATAAAAATTTAAAAAGGGATAGGAGTATAGTTTAAGGCAGAGCATTTGCCTAACATGAGCCAGGCCTTGGGTTTAATCCACAGTACCACATATACACACACGCACAACCAACCAATCCATCAATCTGGTAAAATTTGTTTTTAAATTGTCATGTAGCATAATGAGGAAGTATACTGAGAAGAAAGATATCATCAATCTAATTTCTAAATTCACCCACAACAAAACACCCACTCAATCCATCCACTGGCACTAACTGTTCAGTTGCTACTCCAGGGCTCCTCTGTTGAGTGAAGTACTGACCTTGGAACTGCTTTCTTCCTCTACTTCTCCCTCATTGGTTTGCATGGGAACAGACTCTGTGCAAAACTCTGCAGAAACACAGACACTGCCTGGAAGGTAAAAGAGAAAAACATGTGCAAATGAAAAACTTTGTTTTTTTCAAATATTTAGATGAAAATCTGTCACGTAGATCCTGGATGCTGTGATGCAATGGTTTTAATCAGGTGTACCTCTTGATGTGTATGTGTGTATGGTGAGGCATCTGAGAGAAGATGAGAAAGAGGTGGAGTGGCATCTTCCCCATCTCGAAGGACAGATGGAAAAGGTTTGAGACACTGGGGTATTAATAGCTTTACATTTCTTGACCTATTTGTTTGGTTTTTAGCAAAGGTGATATAGAAATCTTCAATGACTCTTACAGTGGACACCTGCCAGAAAGGATGCCGATGAGCAAAGAGGAGAAACCTGTACAAGGTCTTGTTTCCCGGGTATTAGGCTATGCTACCTTTCTTGTATTTATAGCCATGTTGAACATTGTAGGCTTTTGTAACTGAGACACTCTATCAAGAAAATATGCCTAAGAAACTAAATGTCAGCTCACTGATTTTTACACAAATTGGTTATCTATAGAATAATACAATAAAAGTGGTTTATTGTTTCCTACAATATTATTTTTTTTACAAATAACTGAAAGTACTTTAAAAATTTCCTCTACTTTAATCCCAGCACTCGGGAGGCAGAGGCAGGCGGATCTCTGTGAGTTCGAGGCCAGCCTGGTCTACAAGAGCTAGCTCCAGGGCAGGCAACAAAGCAACACAGAGAAACCCTGTCTTGAAAAAAGCAAAAAAAAAAAAATTCCTCTAATAGTAAGAGCCAAGGCCTGTGACATGAACTGTCATACATGTGCTGAGAACAGATCTAAGTCCCCTGTAAGAGCTAAGTATAACTGCTGAGTAAGCTCAAGCCCTCAAAGCTAACTTTTAAAGTTTCCTTTTAACATTTTTTATTTTTCAATTTTCCTCAAAACTAACTGCCATTCATCCTAGCCCCATTCTTCTTCTTTTTCTTTTCTTTTCTTTTTTTTTGTTTTGTTTTGTTTTGCTTCTTCAGACATGATTTCTCTACGTAACAGCCCTGGCTGTCCTGGATCTCACTCTGTAAAACAGGCTGACCTCAAACTCACAGAGATCTGCCTGCCTCTGCTAGGACGTGTGCCAGCACTGCCCAGTTTAGTATTTTTTTTAAATCTAGATTTCCCATATGAAAGAATATATGCAACATTTATCTTAAAATCTGGCTTATATTTTAATGAATTCAAATATATATTTATTTAGGAATAATTAGTCAAACCAACTGAAAAGAACCACTATGTCTGACCATCACAAGGGACACTATAAGTGACCATGACATTGACTACAACAGTGACTATAATTGACAATCAGAACAAACACTACAAATGATCATCACAGTGACCATGGCTATAACCAATATGACTAACCACATCAATGATCACCACAGCAACCACTACAATTAGCCACCACAGTGAGCACTAAGATGACCATCACAGTGAAAAATACAAGTGACCACCATAGTGATGACAGTGACTACTACAGCTGACCACACCAATGATCACCACAGTGTACATGACAGTTACCATCATATGTGACGATGGTTGACCATCACAGTGAATACTACAACTGACCACCACAGTAATTATGGCAGTGACCACTTACAATTGACCACATCAAGGACCATCAGTGTCCACTATGACCAACCCACAGAGGATACTATCATAATGACCACCACAATGACTACTATGATTTACCAGTGAACACTACAACTGACCACCAAAGTGCCCATGACCATTACCATTATGGCTGACAAATACAGTGGACACAACTGATTAGCACAGTGATCACTAAGTAACAGTTAAAAAGATGCTTATAATGCATGCTTGTATGCAGGAAAACTCTTTGGGAATGTACCCAACCCTGGATATCTGCTCTGGTGCAGGCATCTCTCTACCCAAGCCATAAGACCTGAGGCCAAGAAGGAACTTCTACATTTCCACGTTGGTTATGTGGCAAAGGGGTATCAAAATATCTATTGTACTCACTAATAAACTTTTAAAGGAAAAATATATGTTGATGTAATGAGAAATGTAAAACTGACATAGTAATAGCTGTCACTCACCCTCTTCTCACTCAGGTCCAGATGAGCCACCATTGCTCAGGCTCTCTGTGCTCACAAGTGAAACAAGCTTCTTGGAGTTGATCATGTCCTTCACTTTTTATGGCAATTAATGCAGAAATGGAATTGTTTTTTCTATGCCAATTAAGTTGGTGGAGCTGGGATTTCAGCTCAGTTGGTACAGTGCTTGCCTAGCATGTTTGAAGCTCTGAGTTCAGCCCTAGTATCCTATAAAATTAGATGTTGTGTGCACACCCATAAAATCCAAGCACTTGAAAGATTGAGCAGGAGGATGCTTTAAATCTGAAGTTAACCTCAGAGACAGAGTGAAGCCCTGCCTCAAAAGCAAAATAGAAAGGGGAGGAGGAAGAGAAGACAACACTGGAAAAATTCAATAACCTATCCAGAAAGATGTGGCATGCACAGTGCTTCACAACTGTCTCCTCTTGGTTAAAGTGAAGATTACAGTCAGACCATGTGTCAGCACACTCACCCCTTGTTCCTACTCCCAGGCCTCTGCAGCTCACAGTTGGATGCTGTTTCTCCCCAAGAGTCTCTAGGATGCTTGCTTCCTCGGCAAGGGGCTCTATCCCTGGCCTTTCTTTAAAAAAAAAAATTTACATATATGGGTATTTTGTTTCCATATGTCTATGTAGCATGCATGTGTCTGGTGTCCAAAGAAGCCAGAATAGTATCAGATTCCCTTGAATTAGAATTACAGATGTTTGTCAGCTGCCATGTGGGTGCTGAGAACTGAACTCTGGTCCTCCAGAAAGAATAGCAAATGCTCTTAACTGCTGAGATATCTCTCCAGCCCTATCTAGGAGGTATTATCCTCACCTCTCTTTGTTTTTGTCCCCATCCCCAGACAGGGTTTCTCTGTGTAGCCCTGGCTGTCCTAGAATTCCTTCTGTAGACCAGGCTGGCCTCCAACTCAAGAGATCCGCTTGCCTCTGACTCTCTAGTGCTGGGATTAACGGCATCTGCCACCACCACCTAGCTCTTCACATCTTTTTAAAAGATGTGCATAAATGTTTTGCCTGAATACATGTATATGCACCACATGTGTGCCTGTTGTAGCCCTTGGATTTGAAGTCATAGATAGTTATGAATGACCATGTGGGTCCTTTGCAGTGTTCTTAACCACTGAGCCATCACTCTAGCCCCTCCCTGGCCCCTCATATCTTCTGGCCACTGACTAAATTCATGACATGAACTAGGTTCACGCTCACTGACAAAAGACAGAGACTGGAAGTTGCTGAGCAGCTATGACCACTAGCTCTTGTCAGGTGAACTTCAGCTACAACTTTACTTCCTTCACCCTTCAGATCCACCTACTAGATTTTTTTTTCTTTCTTTCTTTCTCTTTTTTTTTTTTATTCAAGTATCCGAAAACACTCTTTCCACTTCCTCCCCTCCTCCCAATACTCTCCCGCTCCCCCCACTCACTCTCCTCCTCCCTCACCATTCCCAAGAGCAGTCAGGGTTTCCTGTCCTGTGGGGAATCCAAGTTCCTCCCCCCTCCCTCAGGGTCCAGGAAAGGTGAGCATCCAAACAGGCCAGGATCCCAAAAAGCCAGTCCATGCAGACGAAATAAGACCCAGTGCCATTGTCAATGGCTTCTCAGTCTTCATTTGGACCTCGGGGGCTCAGTCAGCCCCCATGTCAGCCACATTCAGAGAATCCGGTTTGATCAAATGCTCGTTCAGTCCCAGTCCAGCTGGCCTTGGTGAGCTCTCATTCGATCAGTCCCCTTGTTATCAGTGGGTGAACGGACCCTTCGCGGTCCTTTGTGTATAGGAGGGCAACTGATTTTTTGGAGTTGATCTTGTATCCTGCCACATTACTAAAGGTGTTTATCAGCTGTAGGAGTTCTTTGGTAGAGTTTTAGGGTCGCTTATGTACACTATCATATCGTCAGCAAATAACGAAAGTTTAACTTCATCCTTTCCAATTCGAATCACCCTGATCTCCTTATGTTGTCTTATTGCTATTGCTAGAACTTCAAGCACTATATTGAAGAGGTATTCAACTCCAAAAAATCAGTTGCCCTCCTATACACAAAGGATAAAGAAGCAGAGAGGGATATCAGAGAAACATCACCTTTCACGATAGCCATAAATAGCATAAAATATCCTGGGGTTACTCTAACCAAGGAAGTGAAAGACCCATTTGACAAGAACTTTAAGTCTTTGAAGAAAGAAATTGAGGAGGATACCAGAAAATGGAAAGACCTCCCCTGCTCTTGGATTGGAAGAATCAACATAGTAAAAATGGCAATTCTACCAAAAGCAATCTATAGATTCAATGCAATCCCCATCAAAATCCCATCAAACTTCTTCACAGACCTTGAGAGAACAATAATCAAGTTTATATGGCAAAACAAAAAACCCAGGATAGCCAAAACAATCTTACAGATTTTTTTTTTTAAGCATCTTGTTCTAGCCTGACTTGCTTGACTCTTATCAGTCCCCGGTCTGTCAGTCATTGCTCCTCCCCTTCAATGATTGCTCTTCCCATCCCCAGAAACAAACATTCATCTGTCTTCCACCCTTCTTCTACCTTCAAGGCTTTAACTCCAACTTCTGCCCCTGTACTCACTGCTCAATCCATTATCTCTTCACAAGCTCTTGCCCAGTCATCATGGTCTAATTGGGTCTGGCCTGTTCTATTCCAAACCTCAATTTGCTAATGTGTAAGAGTAGAAATGGTTAAAGCAGACCAATAAAGGATACCGAATTACCCAGCAGCTGGGGTGGCAGCAGACAACCTTACCATTGCTAAGCATGAAGGGGCAAGAAGCAGTGACAAACATGCAAAGATTGCTGTGGCTTTAAGCACAGACTCAAACACTAATGCTTATTTATGTGTGACCTTGAGAAAATTACTGCTTGTCTCAAGCTTGATGTCCCTAAGGAGA